CCCCCCCCCAAATACCCAATGTTTTTAGGACTCTATTTTCTTCAATAATTTAATTATTCTTCAAACAATTCTCACAAATCCAAACGAACTAATGTGCTGCTTTACTTTTTACCCCAAAGAACGGTGAAATTTATGCTCCATAACTAAAAAGAAAACACTCTTTCTTTGCTGAAAAAGAAAGTACTCTTTCTACAATATAAAAATAAAGTAATCATTTTATTGAAATAAAAGAAAATACTTTTTCTACATCATGAAAAGAAAATGCTCATTTTGTTGAAATGAAAGAATATACTTTTTCTACATCTTGAAAATAAAGTATTTTTTGTTAAAATGCAATTTTTTTTTTAATGAAGAAAAGAAAATTCTCATTTCTTGAAATGAAAAAAAAATCTATCTATAACATGAAAAGAAAATACTATTAATAATATTTTTATTTAGGGTGGAGGGTGGGGCGAGGGTTTGAGTTGGGGTGGGGTGTGGGGGTTGGTGGCGATGTAGAATAGGGTGGGGAAGGTTGAGTTGAAATGATTAAAAAGGATAATATCGAGTTAGCCCCCTTTTGGCCATAGATTTTGTCAATTGTTTTTCAATTTTTTTTAGCAAAACTTGTTTATAGATTTTATCCATATTTTAGCAAATTTTGAAAATAAAATTTCCAAATTTCAAAACTAGCTCTACACCTGTTTTTGGCCCAAAATATTATTGTTTGGATTTTTTAACAATTTTAAAAATTACATCAAACTTTTGTATTTTATAAAAAAGCTCACCATCTATTATGACTCAACTAATCCACCAGTTAGTTACTATCATTTTTTTTTTTGACTGATGGATCTTGTAATATTATTGCGATTTGATGAATTGTAATAGCTAGTAATTATGTTATTACCAGTTAATATTAAAATATTAGGTTATGGTTTTATGATAGTGTATTATGTAGTTCATTATAAAAATGATAATTTTGTGCCAAACTTATCTATGTTCATGACTATGGTTTGTAATAATGATAATTAATGGCATTGATGAAGGTTCTGCATAAACAAGATTAGCAAGTTTGTTTATTTGGTATTGTTGGGTATTTTTGATAGTTTTTAGAACTTATGGGTATAAATTATGTTTCATTTTTTTTTTTAAAAGTAAAATATATTTTGAAAAATTATGTCCAAATAAATTTTTCAAACCGGGTTTTTCAAAATAAATTTGGGAATTTATGACCAAACGCTAGCTTAGTCTAGGGATGTCAATTAAACATGTAAAAAAGTTAAATCAATACATAATTTAACTCATTGTAGATTTTTTTTTTTTATTTGACCATTTGGTATTCAATACTCGCATAGATCACCTCCCGTCCAGCATTTAAAGCCCAGATGAGTCGAGTTAATTTGAGCTAAATAATAGAGTATGTCATAACTCAACTTGCCTAATTCAAAAACTTGTGTCTTTTTATATATATTCCTTTCTTGCCAATCGTATATTCTCGGACTCGGTACATAATCAATTTGATTAATTGCACGTACTCTACGCATATAAATATTCGGTCCATTTCAACTACCTGCTACGGTCTGTTTCCAATTGTTTCCAATTTTTAATCAACGTTAGGTACATCTCCCCATTTTCCAAAATTTATTTTCAATGTTTGACTTTCGTACCCTGATTTAGCTCTTGGAATTGCCACTACAGTACTCAAGAAAAACACAAAACTATAAGATGTTCAAGTCATGACTATTTTTGTAAGCATGTTAGTCAATCAACTTGAGTTTTTTGACAATTAGTACAAAACCACGAGAATCGCGTTTAAAATAAACCTAATCCCATTTCAATGAGCCTGACAAGTTTGTTTATTTATTCATTTGTTTTGTATACTGTGATGTTGTTTAGATCAATTTGAGTGCACTTCAATTCTTTCACCGAGTAACATATTAATCAATTACATCTCGATCAGAAATTAATTAACGAGTTCTAATCAATTAAAGTATTCATAAGCGGAGTTTTCTTTTTAATTTCCATTATTATATGGGGGATCAAGAAAGCGAGACAATAAAAATTAGACTCAAAACTTCTAATGTAAAATATTTTGACGCTTTGGATTTAATTAATAATTAAAAGGAGAATAGATGGACAACCAATGAGGGACCCTCGCATGCATTTGTAAGTGTTGAAATTTCATCACCCAAATAATGCAAACACGTGGTCCCCCTCTAATCTCTATCACCATTGCAATCCATTTACAAAGGAATCATATCAAGAAAAATACATCACTGTCCCTCACACTTTGAGCTAAAATGCGTGCATGCTACGTAAAAACACAAGTAAAAAGACAACACCACCACCACCAAACACAGTTAATATTCTCCAATCCAAACAAACATCACACATGATATTATTACACAACCACATAGTACTAAAAATATTACAAAACATTCACACGCTCAAACTAGTCATACGTCAAACAGTAGCGGCAGTTTGTTATACAAAGGATCGAGATCCATTTCACCTCAGGAAAAGAGTTTTATACCTGATGTAACCAAAAGAGAGACACATCGCCTTTAGATAAGAAAAGGAAACGCGCAAGAGGGATTAATGAGGAAAAATGAGCAATGAAAGTGAAGGTTTTGGGACCTAAATTCGCCACCAAGCGTGCACTGAACTTTACCAGGGTCCTACTGAGGTAAACAAGTCGTCGTATCGTTCACACAGACAGCGAACAATTATGTGGGCAAAAACACATTCCCAAAGGGCAGAATCAACTATTCTCTTTAGGGTCAAGATATGAACTCATGATTTACCACACTTTATGGAAGCATGACAAGAAGCTCCCTCCCTCCCTTATCTATACAGAAGACAGACCGTCCACCGGTGATTTTCAAAACCACAGCCAATGGTTCCCCAACAGAATGATGGAATAAAGACTATATGTTCCGCCAACCCAACTTTGCCATACCATCTAAGCTTTAATTCTGCTTCATTCATCGGAAACATTTAGTACGTACTTCAGACCGCTATGTCACAAGGAAGCTATAAGAAATACCACTAATAACTCTGTAAAAATATGACCAGGGGCAAGCTGAAGCTCAAAGAGAATCAAGTCCTAGAGACTTGGCTTTCACTTTCAGGGATCTCAAGTAACGGATTGCTTCATCTATAACAACCATCGAGTCTTTTCCCTTCCCTCCAGGGATTATTTCCTGCAAAATACTTATAGTATCACGAATTTTATCTTTTCTCAGCCTCTTTTTCCCAGATGGAGAACACTGTGCTCCTGAAACTTGGTCAAAGCCATTGCCGCAACTGGATTGTGCATCATCCTCTAAGTCGGAGCACGTATATGCTTTTGCAGAGGTTGTGGTATCTCTGAGCGACGGTGCATCATAGCTACCATCTAACAGTTTATGCCTTTTGGTCGGCCCTGCAGAACTAGCTACTTCTTCACCCCTTTCGTCAAACCACTCTGGTAAATCATGAGTTGTCATAGTACTAGGCGAGTGACCAGTGCTTGTTTCTTCATCATCCTCGGAATAATAATTATCATCATCTGAATAGAGTAGGGCGTTCAGTTCTTCAGTATCCTCACGCATTTCACTTTCAACATCATCTCTGGTACTTTCTTCAAAATATTCATCACTAAGGAAATGCCCAAATGGAGAAGCTTCATTCTTTTTAATCTCTGGATCCACCTTAACCAAATCATAAAGGGCAGGTGGTGTTGGAATCAAAGAAGCCGGGCATTGTACAGGAGTAGCATTAGCAGAACTATAGATCAAAGTTGTTTGATCACCAGATTGATCAAAAACAAGGAATCTCTTCTGAGCAGATGCGGTGCCTGCATTAGGATATTCGATTGCTTGAGGAGCAAGCTTCTCTTCCGGTAAAGAAGTCGAAACACGAGCAACTCCCTGGTAGAACGGAGGCGAACAATATAACCAATTGAGAGGTTCAGTTGGCTGGCTTGACTTTGACTGTAGAAGCCCAGAAAATGTGAAAAAGGGAGAATTCCCATTCATAGGAACCTCATTTGACTGAGGAGTCATGTAAGTAGGAAAAGAATACTGCTGCCCTATATCAAATCGAGGATAAGAAAAATTCAAATGGGCTAACTGCAGATCTGAATACTGGTGAAGGAATGAAGATTCAAAGTTCTTTTCCATTCAACCTCAACAATCACCTGAAAATCAGACAAAAAGAATCCGACAAACTAATCAGATGAATTGTCACCAAAATTAATCTAGAAAAACAGCAATAAGTTAGAGGTTACAAATCATACCAGTTCTAAATAACTGTGAAACTACGAATTGCTGTTGATTTCTTGCACTCTTGATAAACAACGAAAAAAAACTAAAAACTCCAGCTTAACTTGAACGCGGTAAAAAGAAAGATCAATCTACGTGACGGGTTTAAGCAAATGACGGAAGTATTCAGCCTGAAATATCAACAACAAAAAGTAAATTAGATGTCTTTTAGCAAGCAAAGGAAGAACAAGGCATCTCATCATGTAAAAGTTATTCGATTAAGCAAGGATTCCAGAAGACAAAAAGATAAAGAGAATCTTATTATTCAAGAATACCAAAATGTCCATAACTAACCTGGCAATCTTGGAGTGGTTGAAAGCATGCTATGACTCTAACTATTATGGTGGCAGACCCATCAATTCCATTTTCATGTTTCAATGCTCGAAATCTCGTCTGTCCAGCTGCTTGACACACCATAACTACTTGTTCCCAACCCTTTTCACTCAATACAAACACCTCAATCTTCCAACAGAACAATCAAGAAACAAAAGAATTCTGAACAATCCCTTCTAGAAAATGATTAAAGATTCGCTCAAATTAGCGGACTGTCGAAAATCACTCCCCACAAAATCAAAGACTGAATGCTAAAGAAGGCAATTCTAACCAAGACTAAGATGAAAGTGACTAAATTCTCAGCTAATGCTGAGAACGTAACAGGGTACGACAATGAAACGTGTAGATCCCATGGAAAAGATTAAAATGAAGACTTAACTTTTAAGGTGAGAAATAGTAACAGTAATCTAGAACAAAGAAGCGATTTTCTAAAAAAGGGTATTTTACAGAATGACACGGCAATACAAGTTCAAGGAGATGACTTTCCGATAGACGTCAACAGATAGACTACACCACAGCATGCTGTTCTTTACTTTGCTCTATTCGCCACGGTTGTTGTTTGTTCTTTCTTGTGTTTCACCAATTCTATGCTGCTGACAAGATTTCCACATACAACCATCAGCTTTAAACCCATAAACACCAAATGAAAAGCACTCTTTTAAAGATAAAGAGGAATCTTATAAAAGAAGATTGATTACTGAGAACATTAAGGTGTGAGGTGTATTATTATGACTAAAATACACTTTTTTTTTTTTTTTTTAAACTTTTGCTGCTTAGATTCAAGCTGAAAATCTTGAGACATAGGAGATTTTTTACATAGGACAATACAATTTCTTTGTCAAAGGTAAAACTACAGTGACTAGTTTTCTATTCTTCCTAGTTACCAAACACAAGCATTTCAGAAATTGCAGCTAAAAATCTCATAGCATAGTCAATCAGTATCCTCTTATATTTCAAAAAAAGAAAAAAGAAAAATTACACTCTTTGTACTAGATTCCACAATTAGGGAGAGACACAAGATATCAGTGAAAACTCCATTCAACAATGCTAGAAAACAACCAAAAATCTGAACTTTACAACCCAAAAAACCAACATAACACAAAAAGGGAAACCCATCTAATCAAAATGAGATACAGCAAATGGATTAAAAGAAAAGGCAAGAATAAACTCAAATTATATACAAAAATGGGGACAAAAAAGAATCAGAAATAGAGACTTACAACAATGAAATTGCTTATCCTTAGAAACCCAGAAAAGGAAGAGGATTTTGAAGAGATTGAATGAAGCAGTGAAAAAGATAGGGAGCTGAAAGTGTGTGTTTTTTCACTGTGTGTGTGTGTGTGTTAATGGAAGTGAGAGATAAGGAGAATACAGTCAAAGATGAGGGGAGTGCACGGAGGGTGAGACTATATAGAACCAAAAAAGAAAATCATACTCCAGTATTCAATTTTTGGTTGCGCAAAGAATTAATTGGTTTTCGTACGTGCTAAGCGCACGTTTGGTTTTTGTATAAAATCATGGTGTGTGTATTGGTAATAAAGAAAAGAAAAAAGGTTAATACATAAATTCATTTCTGAATTTATTCGAATCTTTTAATTACACACTTAAATTTTGTGAATGAAGTAAGAGCATGTTTGAAAAGCCACAAGGAAATTAGATTTGTGTGTAATTAGGTATAATTACACAGCTTTATATGTTTATTTGATCAAGTAATTATATTTTTTACCGTGTAATGTGACGTTGTCCTTGCATATAATTAGTTTATTGCTAGCTGATTCATTAATTTCATTTGGGATATCAATGCTAGCTTCTTCCCATGGATTGTAAACCTTCAATGGACCAGCCATGCTTTATACAGTTTCTCCAAGTTTTGTTCCTTTCATTATAATTGCTACAATTACCTTCAATAAGAGACCAAATGTGCTTATCTTATTTGTTGTTGAAATTGACATACGTTGTTATTATTAAGTTATGCTATATTTTCATTGTTCTCTCTCAAGTTATAAAGTTATTCCTATAGAGAATACCAATTATTACCTTCAATAAGAGACCAAATGAGCTTATCTTATTTGTTGTTGAAATTGACATACGTTGTTATTATTAAATTATGCTATATTTTCATTGTTCTCTCTCAAGTTATAAAATTATTCCTATGGAGAATTCCAATTATTTTAGTATGATATTATTTACTATTTTATAATTATTTAATATATTTTCTTACAAAAAATATGTATTTAATACATAATAATAAATAATATTTAATATTTGTTATTACATAAGTATTTTTTTACAGTAAAATTTATTTACATGTTAATCTGAAAAAAAATATTTAACTATATTATTACACTAGTACAATCAAACATGACACCGGTAATTACACTGTAATTATATTACGACAAATAAATAAGTCATTGTAATTACTACTCTAATAATTACGCAACCGAGTAATTACGCATGGCTTTCCAAAAAGTCTAATAATTTCTTATACTTGTATGTAAGTGCGTTTAATACTATTTTAGTTACGTGTAAATAAGGAATTTTATGCACGCGTAAGAAAAGGCAAAAATGAGCCGCCGAAATATTAAAAAAGGAAAAGCTGTATAGGAAAGCTTGTGGATTGATTTCAAAGGATTTGAGACGCTTTGATTATAAGGTCCAAGGGATCTTGGTGATGAAAGAGTAATTAGAGACGGAGGAAGATAGAGAGGAAGCCGATTTTCAATTTTTGTTACGTTGGCAAAAGCCCCAATTTTCATTGCTAATTTTCTAATTTTAAGGCAAAATGTGAAAATGATTTTTTATGGTGTATAGTGTATACTATTCGCTGATAAGGGCATGTTTTACAGAGTGGTAGTTAGACCGATTACATAGTATGTGATTAAGTGTTGGCATTTGTCAAGAAGTCACATGCCGTGAAGATGAAAGTAGCTGAAATGAGGATGTTAAGATGGATGTGTATAGGCTATTCAAAACCGAATCGATGGCTTATTAACTTATTGGTATCGGATTATTGGGGTAATGGTTGTGAACGGGTTGAGATTTTATAATTAACGCCTTAACGGTTTGGAAGCGAATTACTTAATTTTTTCTTATCGGATAAACCGTTAATCCGTTAAAATTTTTTATATTTATACTTTTACATCAATGTATATAAAGTACAATTGGATTCGGCTCGTGTCACGGACTACTGTGTATATGTGATCCTCTGTTTAGTAATGCACTTTATGTGTACAATCCTTTTACAAGCGATTGCAAAGAGCTGCCTAGTAGAATTTCAGGTGCAAGAATTGGTCTTTGGATTTGGTTTTCATCCTATTACCAAAGAGTACAAGGTGATCAAGATAATATATTATGCCAGTTTGTATCATGATGACCCTTGGCTCTTTCCAAATTGGACTTGAGAAGTTCAAGCGTTTATTCTTTAGATATGCAACCAAAAGAACTAGGGTTCAATTTTTTTATATTTGATTTAGCCAATAAACCGCTCGATAATCGTTAATTCGATACCAATCCGTCTGTTGCCTTATTGGATGGCTAGCGAATTATTACATTTATAATTCGATAATCGATAAGCCGAACCGTTAAGCGTAATAATCCGTCTGATCCGCCCGATAAGCACCCCTAGATGTGTGTACATACCCGGAAAGACACAAGTAGGAACGAAGTTATTAGGGACAATATGGGAGTGGCTTGTGTGGAGGACAAGTTGCGGGAATCGAGGTTGAGATGGTTCGGGCATGTGAGAAGAGAAACATAGATGCCACGGTCAGCCGATGTGAGTGGTTGACCATGGCGGGTCTGAGGAAGCATAGGGGTAGGCCTAAGAAGTACTTGGAGAGGTGATTAGGCAGGACATGTCATTGTTGCAGCTTACCGATGATATGACTCTCGATAGGAAGGTGTGGAGGTCGAAAATTAGAGTTGAATGTTGACTGGTAGTCGCAATTTTCTCCTAGGCTTACCAGTAGTAATAGTATTATTCTTGTATTTCCTTGTTCCTGATTCTTTATTATTACATGTTGTCTCATTCGCTTACGTTACCCTATTATATTGTTGTTGCTTTATTTTTATTATTTCTTGAGTCGATGGTCTATCAGAAATAGCCTCTTTACCTTTATAAGGTAAGGGTAAGGTATGCGTACACACTACCCACCCCAAACTCCACTTATGGAATTACACTGGGTTTGTTATTATTGTTGTTGTTGTTATTGTTGTTGTTGTTGTTGTTATTGTTGTATTTGTTAATGGTGTTGTACTAATTGACGAAACTAGTGAGGGCATCAACCAGAAGTTTGAGCTATATAACAGCACCTTCGAGAGTAAGTATTTAAGATAAGTAGAAGAAAGATTGAGTACATGCACTGCAAATTTAAACAACTCAATCATCAAAACAAGTATAACCCAAAAATACAAAGTCTCGTACGAAAAAGTGGAGGTCAACACAATACCTCAAGAAATACAAAACACTTAATATTAGGTGAAATAATACATCACGGAAAACACAAGAATTTACAAATTTCGGAAAAATAAAATAACCAAAGGCAAGTGCATCCATAGAGAAATATCAACAAAAGGGCACTCCTGAGGTACTTCCTCGTAGTACCAAATCATAAATAAATTCACAATATCTCATTTCCTTATATCACGGCGGGAGCTTTCATATTTAATTTTAAAGAAATCATTTTTTTTTCGAAATAGCATACCACGGTTTTAGCCACCCTTATCACACCGCATGACTTCTAGTAGTTCCCCTACTAGCCATGCGTATCAAGCCACCCTTATCTCACTGCATGCATTTCAACACCCTGACCTTATATCACCGCATTACTTCAAGTAGTTCCCTTACTAGCCACGCATTTCAAGCCACTCTTATCTCACCGCATGCGTATCAATATTACAATATTTCGCAAATCGCACCTCAAGTGCCCAAATATCATAGCATAATATAACTTGCAACTCAAGTGCCAAATATTGCAGCATTTCACAAATTGCACATCAAGTGCTCAAATCTTACAACATATCACAGACTGCACATCAAGTGATCAATCTTACAACATATCGTAGATTGCACATCAAGTGCTCAAATCTTACAACATATTACAAATTGCACATCAGGTGCCCAAATCTTACAACATATCACAAATTGCACAATAACCACTCGTAGACTGAACATAGGCCGACAAGGTCATACAATCTTTTACGTACATGACATCTATCTACAGGCCTCTAAGAATACATAATTGTTATAAAGGTCGGGACAGAGCCCCGCCATACCGAACAATACACGTCTAAATCATACTGACCAAACAAGCAACTCTGGAGCAAACGGAGCGCACCAACACCTTCCGCGGAGCTGATAGCCTACTTGGAGGACTCTCGACCTGTCTATCGGGACCCGCGGGCATGAAATGCAGCGTTCCCGGGCAAAAGGGATGTCAATACAAATAATGTACCGAGTATGTAAGGAATGAAAATCAGTAAATAATAGACATAAGAGAAACATGGAGTAAAAGACTCAACATGTAAGTCTGAACAACTCTTTGAGTCATTAATACTTATAATATCATGCATATGCGTATAAATGCCATACCATGCATGGGTACATGCGTTCATAACATCATCAAGCCTCTGAGGGCATCCCATCATATCATCTTGGCCATTGTGGGCAAATCATCAACGTATACCAGCTGATCAGGTGGTGGTGCGTATATAACGCCGTAACCTTTT